AGTGACATGATGTGTACACGGGCCGTGATCCCACCCACGGGCACGCTGAGTGTGTGCACGTGGAGAAGGATCACTCGTGCGTGTAGTTACATGATGTGAACAGGGTCATGGAGGAGGGTCCCCTCTTTAGTCTTTCAGAGAGCCCCCCTCGTGTTCACACCCATGTTGGTGTTGCTTTCCCTTGAGGCTCTCCCTGCAGATGAAGTCTTTGAGGAAGCCCCCCGGGGGCCCACCGTGAGGACCGAGTTGCTCCACCCTGGCCTGGAATATTCTGCCTTGAGGGCAGAGAGCAGGGGGCAGGCTCCATCCCCAAGAGTGTTGGGCGGGAGCTGAGGTCGGACAGAGCTACCTCTGCCAGCTCCAGAGGCTTGCACACCTCTGCTCCTGGACCTGGGAGAGGGAGAGCTCCTTGCTCTGGCCACGCTTTGCCCCCCGCCAGATGTGTCCTCAAACCTCTTCCCAGGTTCCTTCTCAGGCTGTCACAGACGCCAAGACTCTTTACCTGCCCGAGTCCATCCGCCGCCGTTGTCTTTACACGTCCATTTGCTCTGCTTTGCCGGGACGCTGCTGTGAGGAGGCAGAGGAATGGGAGGCCCTCCCAAATCATGGCCGCTGTCACTGCCTCCTGCATACATCCCTGCTGTGCCTCCGCCAGCTGACCAGGCCCGCTGCGGGCAGAACAGGACGGCCGACACTCGCGTGACTGGTGTGGGGGGTCAGCGCTGGCTGAGTGACTAGCTTAAGTCTGCGTGGAGGATGGAGCAGATTGAACGGTTGAATTGGGTCTGTGTGGGGACAGAGGAGACCGTGTGACCAGGGTGAGTCTGTGTGGGGACAGAGGGGACCGTGTGACCAGGGTGAGTCTGTGTGGGGACAGAGGGGACCGCGTGACCAGGCCTGGTCTGTGTGGGGACAGAGGAGACCGTGTGACCAGGGTGAGTCTGTGTGGGGACAGAGGGGACCGCGTGACCAGGCCTGGTCTGTGTGGGGACAGAGGAGACCGTGTGACCAGGGTGAGTCTGTGTGGGGACAGAGGGGACTGCGTGACCAGGCCTGGTCTGTGTGGGGACAGAGGGGACTGCATGACCAGACCTGGTCTGTGTGTGTGGGGGGGGACATACAGAGTGACCAGGGTGAGTCTGTGTGGGGAGAGAGGGGACTGCGTGACCACGCCTGGTCTGTGTGGGGGCAGGGCATACAGAGTGACCAGGGTGAGTCTGTCTGTGTGGGGACAGAGGGGACCGTGTGTGACCAGGCCTGGTCTGTGTGGGGACAGAGGAGACCGTGTGACCAGGGTGAGTCTATGTGGGGGATGGGACATACAGAGTGACCAGGGTGAGTCTGTGTGGGGACAGAGGGGACCGTGTGACCAGGCCTGGTCTGTGTGGGGGCAGGGCATACAGAGTGACCAGGGTGAGTCTGTCTGTGTGGGGACAGAGGGGACCGTGTGACCAGGCCTGGTCTGTGTGGGGGCAGGGCATACAGAGTGACCAGGGTGAGTCTGTGTGGGGACAGAGGAGACTGTGTGTGACCAGGGTGAGTCTGTGTGGGGGATGGGACATACAGAGTGACCAAGGTGAGTCTGTGTGGGGACAGAGGGGACTGTGTGACCAAGCCTGGTCTGTGTGGGGGCAGGGCATACAGAGTGACCAGGGTGAGTCTGTGTGGGGACAGAGGAGACTGCGTGACCAGGCCTGGTCTGTGTGGGGACAGAGGAGACTGCATGACCAGGCCTGGTCTGTGTGGGGGGTGGGACATTCAGAGTGACCAGGGTGAGTCTGTGGGGACAGAGGAGGCTGCAGTGACCAGGGTGAGTCTGTGTGGGGACAGAGGGGACTGCATGACCAGGCCTGGTCTGTGTGGGGGGTGGGGCATACAGAGTGACCAGGGTGAATCCAAATGGGCGGGGGGCAGGATGAGTGATGAGATAGGGTATGTGTGGAGGACAATGTGAAGTGTGTGATGAGGTGGGATCCCTCAGTGGCGGGGGGGAGAGTTGATAGATGGGGTCTAGAAAGTGCTAGGGAAGCCTTGAGGAACTAGCTAGATGTGGATGGCCGGCAGCCAGGCTCTGGTCAGCAAGAGAGAGAGGTCTGAAAAGGCCACCTCTCTGGACTGGAGTTTTTCTGCGTGTCTGTCTTCTCCCTGAGCTTTGTGTCTGGCCCCTACCCATGACCGCATCCACACCATCCTGTCTCATCAGCCCTGCCTCGGGCCCTGGGCCCGGCCCCCAGCACCGCGCTTGCTGGACCCATCACCAACTCATCTTTTTGCAAACTTTGAGCAAACCCAGGAGCCCCCCCTTCCCTGCACTGTGGGCAGCCCACAGGCTGCCCGAATGAGCTGGGGACCCGTAGCCTCGTACTTCCCTCCATGGCCCACTCGCTTTTCTGTCCTCAGGGACAGGCTGCCCTTTGCCAATGCCCCACCTCTGGCCTGCCCCCTCCCCCACTAAACAGTTTTCAGTGTCTCAATAGCTTCTGCTTATATGTTTGAAGATTCCAAACTGAATGGGGAGGTGGCGAAGGCCGCGCTGGCGAACGAAGACTGCCCCCACATAGACCAGGCCCTCACTCCTGATGAGGGCCTGCCCTTTACTCGCTCGGGCACCCGCGAGAGATACGGACCCTGCTTCCTCTTATCAACCGGGGAGTACGCGTGCCCACCTGGTGGAGGAATGAGAAAGGGTATGTAGGGGAGGCGGGGGCACTCTGCATCAGCTGGGCCGCCTCGCGCTCCTGCAGGTGGGCGGGTGGGGTGGTGGGGGAGGGGTGCTGAGGGGCAGGCAGGCACGCTGAGGGGGGGCAAGGAGCAGAAAGAGCCCCCCCAGGGTTGGTCTCTGGAGGTCTGAGTCCCTTTCTCCCAAGTGGGATGTCAGGCTAGCAGAGAGAACCTGAGGTCCCGGTAGCTGGGGTTGGAACTGAGCTGAGGGGTAGGAAGGGGTTCGGGGACAGGCTGGATGACTACGGGGCTGTAACCCTCACGCAGGGGGTCACCTGGGGATGTGAGGGGAGCCTTGACTCCTCCGGGCTACTCCGGCAGATGGCAGGTGAGACCAAGAAGGCAAAGTGATCTCCCCTGTCCCTTGGTTGCAGAGAGCAACAGGGTGGGCCTGGCCTGGCCAGGACCCTGGGGTCTTAGCCACCCGAGGTCCATGTTCTGGAAGAGCACCCTTTAAAGAGAATCTGTAGGCCAGTGGGACGGGAGGCATGGAGAGAGGTGGCCTCAGGGCTTGGGGATGAGGCCAGTGTCATTGCAGAGGTAAGATGTGTGCTAGTCAGAATATTTGCTAGTGATAGTTAGAGAACTCGCCGAGAGAAGGTTAAGCAGGACTCTGCACAGCACCTTGCATCCCTGGTCACAGCCCCGGGTGTGGTTAGCGCCCCCTTGTGGTTGGTGAAGGCTAAGCTCCACGGTGGCCTCTGTTCAAGGTCTCCTTTTATCAGACCCTTATCTGAGGCTGACCCCCTGGGGTGAAGACTTCTCCTAGAGCTTGAGCATGGGCTGGAGAGAAGCTGGAGGCGGGGGCCCAGAGCACCCTAGCTCCAGGCTTCGGGCATTGGCCTGGAAGGTAGAGGAAGCCATCCTCGGCCAATCGGACTGGCTGGGCAACTCATGCATGTCTGGGAGTGCCTCACAGGCTCACACGGGACGCATGCTGACCGGAGTGAGCAGGCTGGGCCGGAGCCATAGCTGGTTTTTTTAGAGCAATAGTTGGTGTAGCCTGTGGCCATGCACGACTGCTCCAGTATTTGAAGCGGTTCAACAACACACAAGGAGAAAACACAGAATTTAAAATAAAGGGCCAACCCAAGCCCAGGAGAGGAGAGGCACCTACGCTGAGATGGGGAAGTCCTTCTGGTCGTTGGTGCTTAGTGTGCCCACCTGATCCGGGCTGGCTCCCGCTCCCTTGCCCTGCCTGGAGGTCCCTCGGACCCCAGTGCGGCATATACCCTGCCCGCATGGTGCTGCATGGTGGAGGGCTGCGGGCCTGAGGCGGGCCCATCCTTGGCACCTTCCATGGATAGGCCTGATGCTCCCCTTCGCAACTGGCTTCTCCTGGGTGGAGGCTCTAGGATCCGAGGAGCAGGGGTGGCCCAGGGGAAAGAAGGGGAAAGCAGGGAGGCTTTGTGTGTGCTCTGCCTGGTAAGTTCTCATGGGCTGCCTGTCTCCTTCATCTTGAATGCTGGGTCAGTCTGGGTGGCCTGAAAGAGCAGACAGGAGAGTCTCTTCACTGTGCTTCCAGAAGCCCAGGGAGAGTGGGACAGAAGAAGCCCCATCTCCCTGTAGTGGCTGAGGGAGCCCAGTGGCAGCCACCGTCCACAGGTGGGACCTGCTGCCCAGTCCCAGAGAGGCGGGGGTGCCAGAGTCTTTGGGAGGCACGAGGGATGAAGTGCCCCCACCCCCATCCACCCGGCCCTGTTCTCATGGAGTCATGACAGCGTTGAGGACTTGCTTTTCTCAGGAGAATTGCAGTGCCTCAGCCACATGCAGAGTAGGAAAGTTAGGGACTCGACCCGATCCCCAGGAGGGAGAAAGAGAGGCGCGCTGGGCCGGCTCACTGCATGGGAACACCACGCCAGCTGGAGAAGACTCTGCCTGCCTCTGCATGCGGCTGTTCTGTCTTTCCTCCTCCTTCCTTAAAAACTAAGTACCAAGCGGGATGGGAAAGCCAAGAAGAGAAGCTCAAGTGTTAATTGTATTCTTTACATACAGATCTTTGCAAAGAAAGCCCTGTCATTGCTAAGTATATGCCGACAGAGGCTGTGAGAGTGACTTGACCAGGCGGCTTGGCCGAGGACACTGGTGGCTATTAAGCATCTGGGTGGACCAGCAGCCCCTCCTCACCCTCGGACAGAGTAAATTCACGCCATGCAGGTTTGCCGGACGAGTCCGAGTGGCCCAGGTCTTGTACTAGGACGGACGTAGCTTTTTCTACGGCCAAATGGTAACTGACCGTAGAGGATTTCTTTTCCTTCTTTTCTTTCTTTCTTTCTCTCTTTTTTTTTTTTTTTTTTTACATTTTATTTTATTCGGGGAGGGAGGTGGCGGGGTTCCTTAGCATGACTTGCATGAAGTTAAACAGAAAACCCAGCAAACCAAACCCACCAACCCCCTGCAACTGTAACGATCACCCTAAACAACAACAAGAAAAAAAAAAAAAAAAAAAAGCAAAAGTCCTCTATTTTCTTTCAAAGCTCTTTACTTTTACACACGTTGCTGGAGCCAGACTGTAACGGCATTTGGTAGAAACCTGTACGTTTCTGGGGGTGGGTGGGGTGGGGGTGGGGATGGGGAATGGACGGCTTCCCTTTTTGTACACGAGCTCGAGAGTCAAGGTTCCAAAAAGGGCAGTCGGTCAGTCATTGGTCATATTGACCTCACCTTCATAGCGCATCTCTCACGCGGAAACTGAGAACTTTGCTCCAAATAGAATTGTGGAAACGTGCACTGCTGCTTTCTTCCCTCTCTGTCTGGCCTGCTTGTGACCCAGCGGACGTCTCCGCAAGACCCCTGACAGCGGCTAGTCTAGGCTGATTCTATCATCTTCTTGGTGTGTAGATCCAGTGTGACCAGCTCTCATAACAAGTTGTTCGTAGTAAATAATCCGCACCGTACGGATCTTCCGAGTGTTCCTTTAGAGCACCAAACGATCAGGACCACGGGAGGGGCGGCCCTCCTCTACCTTTATTAAGGCACAACCTGGCATTGTATGCAATTTAGTACTTCAGAGTAAAAAACTGCATGCCCAATGTTATGCAAAGCGATTCTAGCATGAAATAAATTTTGTATCATGGTTTCTGTATAGTCTAAAGCAGATTTGTTTTCCTGAAGCAATCGGAGGTTTGCAGAGACCCACTTCTGCATCTTGAATAAATATAGTATTTTCCCAATAGAAACAGAGGACAGTAGCTTGGCTTTGATCTGATTCTAAAATTAGTGGTGGGGTGGGGGGTGGGGAAGGATGATATTTTTGAAAAACACATGCTTGAGTTGAAAAAAAATGCAACATCTCGAGCTTTCACTGCAGCTCGCAACATTTCCTGGAAAGAGAGCAATGCTGCTTTAGCTCAACACCCTCCCCTCCTTGGGCCCTGGCCCTCAATAATAAAAAGCTGACTTTTGAGATGAAGCACGGATTCTTGGATTTTTATTGCCCTGGGCAGTGTCGCAATTCGGTTCTGCCTGTCATCAGGCCTGCTGGGCTGGGCTGGGCTCGGGTAAGCCTGAACCCTGGCCCCAAGGTGCTGGCTGTCCCTCCTGCTGGGAAAAAACAGGCTCTTCCAGTTTGGTCTGGGGCGGAGACAGTTCTCAGAAGGGATGGGGCATACCAAGACTTGACCCTAAAAGGAGCACATCCTCTAGGGGGTTCGCTGACGCGGAAACTTCTCTGCGAGTCCTGCCATATTGATGACTCCTTGAATCTGGCCATGTCAGAGCCCGCAGTCCCTGTGCAGACCTTCGTCACGTCCCTCGTAGGGCCATTCATGAATCTGATGGTGACAGAGGCAGGGGACTGACTGACAGGTCTGGGTGCCCTGCCCAGCTGCACCCTGCTGGGTCCAGTTTGCCAGACCACCTTACTGCACACATCACACTCAGCCAGGAGGCATCTTGAAGGGGAGGAGCCCTCTCTCAGGGATCTTGATCTGCACGGGTTGTTCACTTGGTTTCTCATGAGGGATAGAGTAGGGACTGGGTTCCAATTCTTTTCTTATGCATTGGAGAATCCAGGAATGTTCAGGTGGAAAGTCCCTAACGGTCATGGCCGTCAGCCTCTGAGCATTTTATAGATGAAGTGAAGTCCACAGAAGAGAATGGTCTTCCCAGGGCCACAAACAAGTGGGTGTCAGTCTCCCTGGATTTCAGCTCCCTTGATGCCCCCAGCATGGCCTGAGTCAGCCGTCAGATGGGTGGGTGGGAGGCTGAAGGTGGGTGTGAGTTCTCATCCAGCAGTGCCTTGTCCCCTCGGAGGCTTTGCCTGTGTGGCCCAGGAACCAAGGGCGGGGGGTTGGTGGGGCAACGGGTACAGTAAGGCCCAAGGGGCCATGTAGCCGAAGAACTGCCAGGTCACACTATGTGTGTCACAGCCGTTCACAAGTATCGGGATGTGAAAGCCAAGCAGCCTCAGCTGCCGCAGGGAACACCGTGTTCACTCTACTGGGAGCCCGCTTGGAGGAAGCACCTCTGGTGGCCTCCAGTGGACTAAACACAAAGCCATTTGCAGTGTGGGTTTTCCGGGACATAGTAGCTAATGGGGAAAAGAGATGAACATACACCGAGCGTCTGCACATGGGGGGCATCTGGGAAACATGGTCTGATGACAGCCCACAGTAATTCCACCGGCCCGTTTTAGAGGCTAGAGGACAGGTGCAGAGAGGCTAAGTAACTGGCCCAACGGCACCCAGCCAATGAAAGATGAAGGAAGATTTTAACCTAGGCGGGCTGACTCCAGGGCTCAGGTGAAGCCGTCACAAGCTAACTGGGGTCTTCCTGGGACTGGAATCTGGAACTGATAGGAACACTAGCGTGGCTGGTCCTAAATCCCAGGGCCCTCAGGACCCGGCCTCCTGCCAGCCTTCATAAAGCACCGTGGGTATGAGGGAAGCGGCCACTTTACATGCTGCTCAGAGCCTTCCGTACACACGTCTGGCCACCTCACTCTCCTGCTTGAACACCTGCCCTTACTCTCTCTGACCGTCCCACCATGTCCCACCTAATGTGCTAACTCCCAAGTCCCATCTATGACTAAGCCTCTTTCCTCGGAACTGGCAGGTGCCCGGGGGGCGGGGGGCGGGGGGCAGGGGTGAGGAAAAAGCACTTTCCTCTGAGCCCCGGGCCCAGATTCACCTTTGCAAGCACAGCCTCATCTAGTTTGGATCTGACAGCCTACTGGAACCAAGAGGGTATCTCTTGGGGGTATCAAGGGAAGGGGGGTGCCTGTGGCCCAGAAGGGAGAGTATGTGGCAGACAGGTGAGGGTATGAACAGCCCACTCACACCTGGAATGTGGCGACCATACACAGTGTCCGCAGACGCCAGGCCCATGACCTGTGAGCACACGGTGGGGCTCGCGCCCCCCTTCTGTTCCCTTTCTCCTTCTCACTCGGGAGGAATACAAAGGCCAATCTACTTGGCCTATCAGAAAAAAAGGAATTTTTAAAAATGGTTGGGTATTTACTCGCATTGGCCCCCATGGCACATTAGCTAACCCGGCGGAGGATACTGACCTTCACTATCACCTAGTTCTGACTGCACGGTACAGTTCTCACCCACGTGTAAGAGACAAGCAGAGGGCAGGCGGGTGGGAGGGCGTGTGACCCCCTCATTCAGCCTCCCCACCCCATGGTGGCCCTAAGAGTGTACTCATCAGTTCATTCGTTAACACTTCCCGGGCACTTCCTCCGTGGATCAGGGCCCATCCTTGGTGAAGGGGTTCCAGAATCCACCAAGACCGGGTCCCTTGCTCTCGAAGAGCCCAGGGTCTGTCTGGAATGAGGGGCGTGGACATCTCCAAGTCTGAGAATGACCACAGGAATCAAAGGGTCTGGAAAACATCTGAGCGACCCTGTCGACAGCCCCCTGGAATTTCCGGGCACTCATCAGGCCCAGCGGACGGGCTTGCAGAAAGCCCGGCGGCTACCGTAGGGAAGGCACAACGGAGGAACCCGAGGTGACGGAGCCATCCGCGGTGTCGTCTAGAGCCGGGAGCCATTCACTGCGCTGTGTGCGGATGGCCTGCGCCCGCAGGCCTACAAGAAGGCTCTGAATCAGCTTCTGAGCCAGTCTGAGGCTCAGGGCTGACGCAGCCTGCTCGTTTCAGGCTGGGAAGGGGCCCTGAGACGCGTCTTTCTCGGGAGAGGCACCGGGGCTCAGCAGAAGACTTGGACCTGGGACTTCTTCCAGCCGGTGCTGAAGGAGGTGGGAGGGAAGCCCATGCTGCGGGAGACAGCGTGCTGGCTCCCTGTGAGCAGTAAGCCCGTCTGGGAAGTATGGGCCTGGGTACTATGCCGTGTGGGGCTGCTTTCTGACCTGTGTGTCTGATGCCGATCATTTCTCCTGTAGGACCGTGGCGGGCGGCCAGTAACTGCGGGCTTGCTCCAGTATGAGTCATCTCTGGGCCATCCAATTGCTCCACCTCTGAACCGGGTGTAGGAATCTTGGCAAGAGCAGCTCCGAGTGCACAGAGATGTCCTTCTCATTGCAGAAGCGCTTAGAGCCCATTCGAGCCTCTGCTGGTTCTGGGAGGTGGGCACCAAGGGCTTTGCTGGCCAGCGCAGTGCTGTTTCTAGGATACAATGTCGGGAGCAGGACTCCATGCACTGGTGTTCAAGGGCAGCCAAGGGCTATGGGTGGTCTCTGGGTTCAGGCCTGGGCAGCTCAGGATTGCCCCATCCCCACTCCACTGAGCCAACCCACTCCTGGTCCCAGGGGTGCCCCTCATCTGCCCCCCTGGTCTGGCTCAAGGCTCTGGATGGCTCACCTCCCAATTAGGACCCTGGGCCAGGAGTGAGGTATGTGGCCCCTTCCCCTTTACAGGCCTCTGTTTTCCCAAATGAATAATGAAAATGTCGGATAAGACCAGTGCTTTCAAAACTTTCTCAAGCACCCCTTGTCAAGTGAAATCTCGTGTGAAGCCCAATATATAATATAGATGAAAATAAAACTGCTGTGAATAAGGTGGAGGGTGGGGACCCGGACCTCTGTTCCCATGGCTTTCCCTCACCCATGGCCCACCCGTTGGCCTCTGAATTCTCAGGAGACTTCTGGGGCTCTAACAAATGCACTTTGAAGGCCTCTAGGCTAGGAGGTCATCTCTCTGGTCCTCTGATGTCCTGGGGTTTTGTAACTTCCTAAAGCTTAGCCCTCACAGAGCCAATAGTCTCCTGAGTCACAGAGGGAAGGTGGTGTGGAACAGGCCACAGACTGGGCTAGCTAGCTGGCAACACTGCGACACAGTCCCCCCAGAAAAGCCATTTTCTAAGGCAGAGAGGCACTATGTCCCCCCAAGTCACAGCTGTCACCAGGGAAGCCTGGGGCCTATGGTCTGGCCTGGTCCCCATTTTACCTGAAGGCCCTCCTCCTGCAGAGGCAAGGAGGGCCGAGGGGCAGATGTCAGGGGTTAGGGTCAGCCTCCCCTTCCCATGCTGTGGCCCATCCCTCATCTGAAACTACACAGCTTGGCTATTAATTATACAGACCAGATCCAGGCTCCTGCCTGGCTCGGATGAAGACACCGATCTTCTGAGAGTTCACTGGTTCTAGATTCCCTTGTCTGTCCCAGGCGTCTCCTCTGTTAGGTCTTCCCAGAATTCCTGTCTCTTCTTCCCCTCACTCATTGCCACTTCCTTCCAGCCCCCTGTCCAGAGCCTTCTCCCTTCTCCCGGCACCTAGTCACCAAGACAAGAACTTCTTCCCGTCCGAGTACCCACCTGCCTGACCAGGGTACCTCCATCTCCTCGAACCATCCAGGCCCTGAGAGTCGAAGGCTGCTGGACCATAACAACCGTGGGGAATGGGGCTGGGTTTTCTGTCCCCACCAGGTGAAAACAGGCCTGTTTTCCATGTCCTTTGGTGATTCTAGTTTAAATGTCGCTTAGAGACCAGATTCCCCAGCCATGCAACCAACTTGGGTTCTTGTTATTGCCTTCATGAGGGTCCTTGTTCCCATCTGTCTGTGTCCTTGAATCCCAGACACTGGCCAGGCGGCCTCCCATCGTCCTGGCCTGTGGTCAGCCTGGCCTGTGGTCAGCCCAACCATAGGGCCTCCAGGACCCTACAACCTGACCAAGCAATCCTCTGGGAACACGTTGGGTGGGAAAAGTCACTTTATTTAAGGGCCTCTGTCACAAGCCCCCCATTTCTGGACCTGCCGGGCTGGCTCTGGGTAGAGGTGTCCGGTTGCCTTTCCTTCCGGTTTCTCTCTTTGTCCCTGGCTTCCTGAGATTCAGCGTCCTCAGGGGCATCCAGGGAAGAGCCAGTGACCAACTGAGGGAGGGCCGGCAACTGGCAGAGGGCCAGGGAGTGGCCAGCCCCACAGCCCACGAGGAGTCCCAGTGATGACTGCAGGGCCTGCACAGGCTTCGGGGCCCAGATGTTGGCTTCAGAGCCATCCCCGCACATGCCGTGTTCGTTCCAGCCCCAAGAGTAACACGTCCCTCCTGTGAAAGAGAGAGAAGACTGCTCTAGAAGAGGTTTTGGGAACAGGGCTGAAACACTCACCCTGGGGGCACAGGGAGCACCATAAACCCCAGTTTACACATGAAGAAACCAAAGTTCAACCACACTTGGTGGCATGCTCACTACCCCTGCTTCCACCCTGCCCCCCAGGGCCTTTTCAGTGTCTCCCACTCCCACCAACCCACAACCATCGCCGGCCCAAACCTGGCTTTCCTCCTTGGCCCTTCCCTCACTATAACCTCCTTTACCACCGGCCCCAACCCACCATGATCCCAGACCTGCCAACTCTGCCTTCAGAAATACTTCAAATCCTTCCAGGTCTCTCCATCTCCGCTGCCATCGCCTGATTCCGACCCCATTCTCCCACACATGAAGTCATGCCAACAGCCAACAGACGAACCGGGCCGCTCACCATCCACCCCAATCTTCAACGAGAGTCTAGGTGATCTCTGACAACTGCAGGTCTGATCATATCACTCCCCAGCTCCAAAGCCTTCAGGGACTTCCCATACACTTCAAGGCCTTTCCTCGGCCTGCGAGGCCCTGAGCGATCTGGTTCCTGACTACCTTGCTGGCCTCCCTTACGAAACTCTCCCCCCACCCCGCTGCATTCCAGAACCCGTGCCTTCTTCCACTTCCTTATGTAGGCCTCGTAGAGCCTTTCTTTCTCTTGAGACCCTCTCTATACTGGGTTCCAGACCTCCTCATCCTTTAGATTCCAGTTAAATGTCGCTCCACAGCCAGATTCCCTGGCCACCCAATCCAACTTGGATTCTTGTTATCACCCGTGGACTCTCCCCTCATGGGGGCCCTCGCACTTTGCGGTGGATCGATGACTTGTGTGGTGATGTGTGGTGACTGGTCCCTCTCACTGGGCTAACTGCTCTACAGGAAGGGAAGGACTGTGTATGTCCCGTTTACTGCTGTATCCCTAGCCTGGTGCTCAATAAGGGCTCACTGATGGGGTAAAAGATTGAACAAACTCAGTCATAGAGCCAGAGAGTCTGCAGGCCAACATTCAAGGGCAGATTTCTCCAACAGCCTGTGATGTCCACACCCCATCATATGCCCTCTTTCTAGCTTTTAGATCCTTTCCTAGGCCAAACTCACTCATATTTTTCTATAGTCATTAAAAATATTTTTTGTCCAGTTTATTAAACTAATACATCTTCATGACAAAAAATGGAAAATATGGATGAGTGTAAAGAAAAAGCAGACTTTGAGTCTTGCCATTAGTATGAATATTTTAGTGAGACCTTTAATTTGTGAAATTTGTAAATATTTGTGTATATTTTGTCCTGCTTTCGTCCCTTACTATTAGAACACCGGTATTTCTCCACAGAACCACAAATTATTCAAAAAGTAAATTAAAAATACTTTGAAATTTTGAAATTGTTCAATATGCAGAAAGGTACAAAAAATAATTTAACAGAAAAGACACATACCCCATCCAGACTTAGAACATTAGTCAACATTTTGCTGTATCTGCTTCAACCCTCCCCTTAAAAAAAAAAAAATCAATCATAAAGAAACAATCTAAGCCCCGCCTCCTATTCTTGCCCTCTAGCCACTTCTCCCAGCAAAGAGCCACTGTTTCCAAGCCGGTGTTCATTACTGGTATACTGGTTTTATACTTCCTACCTATATGTCCTTAAATACTGTGTAATGTTTTTAGGTTGTTTTAAAGATTTACATAAATAGTATCATTGAGATATCTTTTTTATACTTGCTCTTTACACTCAGCATTGTTTTTTGAAATTTATATGAGTCGATAGTTAGAGATCTAGTTCATTTATTTTAACTGTGCATAGTATCCCATTACGTAGAGGTCAGATTTTACTTATCCATTTCCCTTCTACTGGACAGTTCTTTAATGACTGTTGCTATTTTATTATGCAATATATAATGTACAACAATATTATACAATAATAGTAATTTGGCTTCTATTATAAGCAGCACTACCATGAACCTTCTTGAGCATGTCTCCTTGGTGTTTGCGCAGGGTTGGTCCCTAGAAGTGTGAGGGTGGTGGAGTCATGTGTTTGGATTTCGGTTTGGCCTAACGGCTGTCCACACCAGCTGCAGTCACGTCCAGCCCCATCAGCGATGGATCTGAATACTTCCTCTTTGTCTTTAGACTCTTGCTATTCTGCTAAGTACAATGCATGAATCTGCATTTCCCTGACTACTAGTGAGAGGGATTGTCACTTCTGTATTGCCCTGAGTTGCCTCTTCTTATGAATGGCCTCTGCACATTCTTTACCTGTTTTTCTTTGTTTGCCCTTTTCTTACTGATTTGTAAGCTTTTTTGTGTATTCTTTTATTTACATGAATCTTCATTGTGCTATGCATTCTAAGTGTCTTCTCCCACAAGTCCATGGTATGTCTCTTCACTTCGCCTCTGGTGTCTTTTGTTAAACAAATTCCTTCAAAATGACTGCCTAATTGTCCACTGTGGAGATTCAACAGTTTCCTTAACCTGTATCCTATTATCAGACACACAGGTTGTTTCTAATCTTTCATTATTTGGAATAATATTCCTATGAACATCTTTGCATGTGAATTTTTGTCTATCTAATTGCTTTCTCAAATTAGATTCTTAGAATGGGAATTTCTCGTCAACTGGCATGGACTTTTTTGAGATTCCTGGGTGCTGTTTTGAATGCTTCCACAGTATTTTCTCAGAAAGGCCACCTGAATACAACTACAGCAACCTGGGGAAGTCTCCATTTCACTCCAGAATTGCCAGTATTTATTGCTTATTATAATGTTTAAAAATCTTCTCTAATTTGAAGACAGAGAAAGTATCTCATTGTTTTTATTGGTACTTTACTGCCATAGAAACTGAAAAATAATTCTTATGTTTCTCATATATTTGTATTTCCTCTTTTGTGTACTGTCTGCTTCGTATCTTTTTTCTGTTTAGTATAGAAGGCTTTAAGTGTCAGGCCCAAGGGCCAGATGGTCTGGGTTCAAATCCTAGTTCCTCCATTTATTTTTTTATTTTTTTAAAGATTTTATTATTTATTTGACAGAGAGAGAGACAGCAAGAGAAGGAACACAAGCAGGGGGAAGGGGAGAGGGAGAAGCAGGCTTTATGTCGAGCAGGGAGCCCGATGCAGGGCTCGATCCCAGGACCCTGGGACCATGACCTGAGCTGAAGGCAGATGCTTAGTCTGAGCCACCTAGGCGCCCCTGCTCCTCCATTTACTAGCTGAGTGACCTTGGGCAAGTTACTTAGCATCTCTGTGCCTCAGTACCTTCATCTGTTAAATGGGGACTATAGTACTGTTACCATAAACTTGTTTACAAGAATTAAATCAGTAAGTACGTATGAAGTACTTAGAATGGTGCCCGGCACGTAGTATCGTATAAATATTTGTTATTGTTCTCTGTTAAGAACCTTCTTGTTTTAAAGATTTTTGTTTTAAGAATATTAATTCTTTCTCTGCCATATCTGGCATAAATATTTTTTCTCAGTTCGACTTAAAATCTTGTTTTGGGTCTTTTGATATAAAACATAAGCTTTTTGGTTCTTTATAATAAAATTCATTGATCTTCTATAATTTCTTCTACTGCTTCTAAGAATTGAAAGCCCATCCCTCTCCTATCAGGAAATATTCTTTTTTGATTTTTCAATGATTTTATTTATTTTTTTTTAATCTTTACATTTCACTCTTTATCCACTGAAAATCTGTTTTTCACAGGGGGAGGCTGGCTGGCCCGGGATTACCCTTCCCTTTCCTTCCCCCCAGTAGGAAGGCAATCGCTGGCCAAAAGCTTGGGTTTGGGGGAACACAGATGTCTCCCTGTTTGGCCCACGGGTGAGGAAATGCCCACAGAGAGGACGGGCCCCGGGTTGTGGCTCCTACAGTGGTGTGAGGCCCGAGGTGGGGAAGTGCAAGCGGCTTGGTACCTTTGGGCCTCGCTTAGCACCTGGCGTGGGCTTGGTGCCCGGCCCCGGGGAGTGGCAGCAGCTGACAGTCAGCAGGAGTGCCGGCGGGAGGAAGGCGGAGCTGAGCCACCCCCGCACCCCCGTCTGCAGGACGCGGCACACCGGCTGGCAGGTCCCTTCCCTCCCGCCAAAGGACACTCGCCCCGAGGGCCCAGGCCAGCCAGAGGCCTGCAGCCAGGGCTTTCATGCCACTGGGTCAAGAAGCCTGGCCAAGGGCCAGAAATTTCCTCCCCTGATCCTTCCGAAGAAGCCTACTTGAAGTTAGGTGTTTTATATTCTTCATCTCATTTAATTCCAACAACCCCAGGAGGCAGCCGTGTCTCAGGGACTATCCCCCTTTCACAGAGGCTGACGCAGAGGTACCAGAAACCGGGCAGTGCGCCTCCAGAATCCGGGCCGACTCTGCATATGATACACCAGGCCTTGCCAAATTCATTCTAAAAAGGCGGATAGTAAATATTTTAGGTTTGAGAGCCTCATTTGGTTTCTGTTGCCTATCCTTCCTCTTTATTGCAACCCTTTCAAAACCATTCTTGGCTTGCAAGGCCATCCGAAACAGGCCACAGGTCAGATGTGGCCGGTGGGCCGTCCTCTGTCAGCTGGTGGCACACACGTCCAATATACACTCTTTGCTGTGGGCTGTGCTAGGCTGTCCTGGGTCCCACACTCCCAGACATCCGCGTGATCATGGTAGCTCTGTCCCTGTCTCTGTCACAGGGCTGCTGGGGGAGGGCTGCATGAGGTGACATATATAATGCCCCAGCACGGTGCCTGACACTTGGTGACAGCTCATGCCCACGAATGAAGAGACCACGGGGAAAGGAGGGCAAGGCAAGAAAGACCACGCCGGGGTCCAACAGCAGAGAGGACAGGGAAGGGCACCGGCAGATGGGAAGGCCTGACGTGGAAGGACAAGAAGCTTAGAGTTTCTGAACACTTTACACAAACTTCCTATGGGAAAAAACCAGGCTGCTGAACTTTGAAAGATTAGCTATCCCCTGAAGAGAAGACACCTTTAAGTACCAG